ACTGTTTTCCTCCACTGCAGGCCATATATAGCCTGTTACACTTTGATCTGCTCAGCAAAACAGAATGGATTCCTTTTGTCTGTAAACAGCAGCTGGGTGAAAGGAAAGGGTAATGGAGCCTGAAGGTATTTGATGGATAGGCACTGGCTTTGAATATATTTGCTGACCAGATAACAACCTATATGTGTATTGCCAATGTCAATTTTCTCTGTACTTGTTACTGCTTCTAGCGCACAGTTGTGGTATAAACCAATCTGCCCTGATTTCACCTTGGGAGATGTGATTCTGGAGGGAAAATGTGGCCTGGCTAAACTTGTGTTGTGCCTTCCTGTGACCCTCTTGTCATATGAGCTATTTCAAACAAGACTGCTCTTGTTCTTAACAAAAGGACATATTCTTTGGTGGGGAACTTGCATGTCCTGTTACTGTTCAATGTGGATTTTCGCATTTAAGAGGTTCCAACTCTGCAAATGGAACTGGTTTGTACGATTCATCAGATGCAAAGCTGGCTTAAAATGAGCATATGGAGGCATATGAAAGGTTTGTGCTGCAGTTAAATGTGTCTGAGGATCAAGGAGGAACAAGTAATTTAGAAAACATACTTGCACTTTAAAACATCTATTCTTGATCTGGGGCAAGTGTCCATGAAGCTTTAAAGATAGCATCATCTCATCCTACCTCATCCCACATTTTCTAAGCAAGTGTTCATGGTTCACATCTGCTTTATTTACTGTCTGTTAAATTTACTGCGTTTTTATCATATATTAGAAAAGAAATATATCTTCGTACAAACACGTGGTTTAAAAATGGGATTATAATCCCAGAGCCTTCAAACACTCATGTTTCAGTGAGTAAAAACAGACCTTCCTGATACATTTTGCAGGGCAGAAATGGTTGTTACATGGCTCATACTGTATAAAATGATTTAGAGCAGTTTTCTCTTTGACTACTAAATCACATACTTTGTAACAAGCATGGATTGTGAATGCAAAATTCGTTAACTCTTGCAGTAAAGTGTAGAATGTGAGACATATTAAAATTCTTAGCATACCAAAGGGTGTGAACCAGATTTGGAAATATGATAGTGCTTTTTAACACCTCTTTTAAAATGAGGCAGATGCAGAATAATCTAATCAAGATGTATATCCAAAGTATGGAATTAAATCTATTCTGAACCCAACTTCCTGCATTCATGAACTGTACATCCATGAAGCTCTCAAATAAAGCAATGTTCAACCCATGTTTCCTCCTCTTAGTGGGCAGAGAAAATGTGGAATATTTCTTATTGTAACAGTACTTTGTCTTTTTGTGTACTGCATACACAATCCTGTGGTTTTGCAAAATCCTGCTTTAAATGTGAACCTTGGAAGCAATTGCAAGGGCAGAGGCAAACATACCATCTCATGTGCCTTCACATGAACTCAGATGATTATGTGTGATTATAAATGCACTGTTGATTGTGGTGGAGGGGCCAGGCCTTGTGAAGGCTTTGTGGGGCATTGTGGATTTGCAAATGCAAAGTGTCTGAAACCTCTTGCAGTGACAGCGAGAGAGCTGCAGGACACAAACACGAAGTATGTTCTACCCCTGTGAAATTAAACACATTCCTCACCTTTAACATAAGTTTGGTTTGACGCTGGTTAAAGCAGATTGAAACAAGGCAAGCTCATTCCTTAGCATCCAAAGCAGGAAATGCTGGGGTAAAAGGCAAGTTTACCACCTAGAAGTAGTAGGGGGAAAAGACCTCCTTTTGCCTTAGCAGAAAAAAAAAAAGGAGCTGCATTCATTGCTTTCTGTCCTTTTCTCTGTATCATTTTGTAAGGTACTTCTATAAGGCTGACACAGGACCAAAGGCAAATCCTTGCTCCTCTGGGGCAGCAGTGGTTGTGTCAGAGCACCTCCCATGGGACTAGACCCTTGTATTTAATCCATAGCCTAAACAAATTGTCTTGGCTCCTTGTGTGATCAGAGAAGAGAGATATCGGCTCCTTCAGAAGATGGTTGTATGTGTCTGTCTTGGGCATCAAGACAAGTCAGTCATCCCTGTAAAGTATTTGTCTGTTATCAGGGGGTCCAGGTGACAAGGTAAGTTTAGGATTCTAATCTGTGGGTGGCAGAAGTTAGTTATGGTAAATCGTGTCCTTTGTGAACAAAAAAATATGGAAATCATGGGCTTTTAATATAAAGAATTTGATTTCATAGTATTACTAAGTTTTATCACTTACAGATGAATTGTGGGAAGTCCCAAGGATGAAACTAGCTAAAGCTCATGTTTAATTAAAGGTGCAACTGAAAATCTGAATTAGATTTTTTTTGCCTAAAATTAGTTGGTATTTAAGGAAATACAGTAAGGCTTTTATTTATTTAATCGACCGGGGGAACTTTACTCCACAGTGCAGTTGGAGAATATACATATCTTTTCATATTAAACCATTCCTCTCTGTTTTAAACTGGTTTGTGAACAGCCACCTGTCTAAAGTAGATTTGTTGCAGTTGTGATGGTCTGGGGATACAAATGAAGCATAAGTAGTAAAAGATAACATTATATTATCTTTTTATTAGACCACTACTTTAGCAGGAGAAAATAGAGGAGTATTCAGCACACAACCCACTCCTTTAGGGTCTGCAAGCTTCTCTGTTTTTTCTCATTATTTCAGTACAGCTATTAAAAGATACTACTCCCCTTACAAGACTAGCCTCATTTATTATTGTCTTAAGGAATGCAAATCTGTTAATAGTGGAAATGAGGTAAGGAGGTCAGTATTGTGAACAGAACACAGATATAACCTTTAGAGTTGTCCCTGTCCCACTTCAATTAGAAATAAAATGATAAAAAGATTCCTTTGACATTCTGAAGCAGCACAGGAAACACAGCAGTGCAGTTTAGTGTGATATGGTTTCCAGTGCCATTTGAGTGCCAACAGATTCTGAGATTTGGCCAAGTTATTCAGCACAAAGCTCCAAGAGGTGGGAAAGGATTATTTACGCCACTGTCATATATCCTGACACAGTGGATACACACATCCCCTACCAGAGAAAAGTCCCTTCTATGTCTTTGGGTGCAAGTGGAGGCTGTGGGGTGCAAAGCATAATGAAGTTGCAAACTGGAACTTTCCCAATTATATAAATATAACTCCTTGCTTAAGTTTATATCACCTTTGTTTGCCCTCTTAAATAATCAGACATCATTGCTTATTCAGAATCCCTCACTGTAGTTTTAGGAAATTCTGGAATTTTGAAAGGAAGTGAGAGTGGAAGCAAATATATTTCATGGCTTTGAATTTAAAAGCTTTTAAAAACAAATTTTACAGGAGATAAGCGACCAGCTTTTGGGTTAGCTCTACCAATAAACAATTTACAGCTGAAGAGACTGAAGGGGTTACCTTGTAAGGCTCATTCTATAACAGTGAGAAAAGCCTGTACAAAGCCATCTGTAGGATATTAGACATTAAAATGAGATTTAATTAGCATGAAAGTGGCTTAATAACCCTCTGTTGTGTTTGGGATCTATAGTGATTTCCTGCCCCTTGGCTGTTTTGACATTAGTATTTTGACTCTGTTATTTTAAATACATGCAATGACAATGTTATTTTCTTCATACTGGAAAATCTTGTGTATAATGGTCACAACCCACTAAACTGCATATTTATTACATTTGTTTCTTCCCTGTGTTTCTTTGCTTGCTTCCTTGCACATGTGAGAACATGTATGCATAGCTTCTTTGTTGAATTTCTTTTGTGTTCTTTTTATAGACTACTTTATGGTGGGTTATGGTCTGCCAGTTGTCTCTGGACCACAGGGTGAAGAACATTTTGAACCATGAACACTGGTGTCTCCGTGTTGTGGAAATGCTGGAAATTGCAATTTATTTTGTTAAAGTGAATTTACAACATTATTTGCTGTAGAAAAAACATAGTCAACTAATAGTAGGATTTATTAATAAAGGAAACAAGTTTGTAAGGTAATTAACAAATGAGATAGGATACAGTCTGCTGGAAATGGCTTATCCGAGGACTTCTGGAGGATTTTATGCCATATTTTTCTGTTGAAGTACTAATGATGAGGGTAGATGAGAGATTTCCTATTGCCCAGCCTGGAGGGTCTGAACAGATCGGGATGGAAGATCTGCAGAACCCCCTGGAACTCACTGCAGTGCTGGGCCGGAGCAGGCGGTGTGTGAGATGGCTGTGATTGCACAGGACCCCTATTTCCGTGGGCCGTTTGGAGTCCCTGGACTCTGTGTGCTTAAATGAGGGTTAATCATAGTTCCTTATTTTAAAGGATGCCCTGGGAATACCGAATTAATTAATTATCAAGGCAACATAATGTTCTTAGCCATACTATCCAAATTAACTGTTGGTTAATGTTTGATTCTGTTATAGATCTTAAGCTGAAGGGTCTATAATGCAAGATGTAATAAAATTTATGATGTTGTCTTGATAAAAACTCTCAATCAATTTTCCTTAAGTACCAACATTTTCCAAAAGTACATGTGTTTGTTTTGTCAGCTTTGAATACATGGTACGAAAAGTAATTTTGTACTTCATGAATTGCTTAGTTTCTGTTTCACAACATGCTAAATTTTTTATGATGACCATAAAATTAAAACAATCTGATACTATGTGTACTGAGATTTATGACATTCCACATTCCTTGAAAGGTAAGTTTAAAAAGTTAAGGGATGAGAAATTCGATGTAACTTCTTCTGGAAATACAAAGAGAAGTTAAAAAAATGAAATTTATTTTATTCAGAGCTCCACAAAATACCTAATTTTATCTTTCATTTTGGTGACTAAAATTGTGTGAGCCTGATTCAGCTAGTCCCTTAAAGAACAGTTTATGTTTTAGAAAATGGTAACTTCACAGAAAAGTGGATATGGATTATTTGAGAACTGTTATGTCCTGAGAGATTCAGTAGAACGTGTTCTCACACTTGAGAAATCTTGGATTAGAACATGACCAAACATTTAATGATCTCATTCTCCATCTTCATATCCCAGTTCTTTCAGTTTATTGCCATTTGAAGAATATTTTCTGTCAATTTGTACATTCAAATGCTGCGTCTGAAAAACTGTTTTCCACACATAAGGAAACTTGGATCTGAATGATTGATTTGCTTAAGGCTGAGGTTCAGATCAACATTGGTAAGTATTAAAAGGTTAATTGTTTAGATAACAGATCAATTATAAAACTGGTTCCGTTCTGTTAAACACAGAAATTCAGAGATTGCTTTGAGATATATTAAAACCTGTAATAATTTAAATTTTATAGAACAAATGGTAGGTATGGGTATGCCTTATGTACTGTATCTTTGAGGGCAGTAGTAATATGCAGCTGAGGTGACAATGTATGGCACGTTAAAGAAAATATACCTTCCCTAAAATGTGCCATATAATAAAACATCATTTATTATTCTTTATATCTGGCTATTTACATGGCTATTTATATTTATTTATATTGCTGTTGCCATAGAAGAGAGCTTGTCACCGTATCTCAAGAATAAGCTTAGAGAATAGCCCCTGCCGTGGAAACAATTTGAGAAAAGTCACGTATCTTTATTGTGTAGCCTTTTCAGCTGAGATCAGTGCTGTGCATCTGGGAAATCTTACAAATTTATTAAAAAAATTATGTATAAGAATGTTTTAGGTGCAATAATATATAGCATTATGAATAATGTAGTAATGATGTAAGTTTTCTGCTTTTGTTATTACTTCCTTGCTTTCGCAAGTAGGGACATCTGAATTCGTTGATTTTTAAAAGAATGTTGCCTTTCTGGTGAAGTCTCTCCTTGACCATGTAGCTGCAGTCCTTCAAGACATCAAGAAAAACCTCCATCAGGGCATGAGAATTTATGTACAGCCCCTCTGAAAGGCTGCTTTAGGAAAATCTCTCCGTAACACACATGGGGAACAAGCATAGTACAGGCTTGCTATGGCAAGAAGGGGTCAAACCACAGAGTAGTGACTGTGCTCATACAATTTCTCTTATAAAACTCAGTAAGCTTTGATCTAAGGATGGTATGACTATTTCTCTTATATGTATATATATATATATATATATATATATATAGTAACCCCAGAAAATCTGCTGCTTGTATCTGAATGTGTTAAGTTAGCAGTTCAAGTAAATCATAAATAATTAAGATAACAGGTTTTCATTGCATATATGTATAACCTTTGTCATGTTTTTGTGACCTCAGTCAGACAATACAGTGAAATCTGAAGAAGTATTGACATGAGCTGTGTATTGCTTAGGTAAAGTTAATTTGCTGTCTTTGGGAGAAATTGATAAATTAGACCAATGGCCACATGATCCTAATGCATAATCTGCTCATAGTGCCTGAAGAGCTCTGTCCTTCTAATCCATGGTCCTGTTGACAAAGGTAAAGTCCAGCAGGAAGTTTGAGTTTCTGCAGAATCAGGCCTTTATTATGCAAATAATAGATTTTTCCTATACATATGTTTGCATTCATACATTCACACACACATACGTAAGTCATTTTACATTTTTGAATGCTTGAAATGGATCATAACTGATAAATATACAGTAGCTACTAATACTTTTTATGTCATAGAAATCCATTGGCACCAAAAAGATCTTTATCTCTTATTGCAATTTCTTTGTAACAAACATAACAATTAAAATATAGGAATCTTCAACAAGAGTCAACTCCTGGAAGATGAGAACAAATGTATTTCTCTGATCTACTGACACTAGAGAACTCAACAGTGATATTGCAGCTGCTGTTATCCCCCATCTTCATCCAGATCTGATGAGGAAAGACGTAAGAATCAATGATTTAGTGAGCTGGAAACAAACTTTAAAAATCAAAGTGAGCCAATTATAGTAAAATACTAAATAAAGTGATGGATTCTCTACCTCTTGGTATATTTAATTGTCTGGATGCCTCCTGGTATATATTGGAGCAAACACTGGCATTGACAGCAATACAGAGGTAGGATGGGGAATTATATGTTTATTTCAGAGACCATATTAACTAATCTTTGACTCCTGCAGTCATGAACATTACATACGTCAGAACAAAGAAAAACTCAGTTGCTTCTGGAAATCCATCACCGTCTGTGAAAATGCACAGTAGTACAGCAGAAAATACTGCAGTACAGAGCACCTTGTTCTCATTCACAACTGACTGTTCCCATGTATCATCATGAAAAACTCATGGGCATAATAGGAATAGCAGGAGTCAGAACTCAGCATAGCATAAAACAATGGTCTTGTGGTCATGACTAATAAACTACCTGTATCAGAGCATGTGAGTCACATCCTCTCCATTTAGCTTGGCAAGATAAGTGGTTGTTTGCATCACAGCAGCTCCCAGGTAGCCAGCAGAAAATAAAAGAAGGTACAAACTGGTCATCATCACCACCAGAGTAACTTTCTCTTTTTGTTGTGCTGAAGGTGTCAGCAGAGCTGTTTTTAGGTGAAAAGTAATAGACTGTGGCATGAAAGGCAAGACTGGATGTGGTTGTTTTATTTAAAACTTATGAAATCTGAAAGGTTGCATTAAAGTTAATTTTTTTCAAATAGCAAACATATTCACAGTCTGCTCTCATCAAAACTTTCATAGGCTTAATGCCAACTGCTACTGGGCTGGTCCTAGCAAAAGCTATGTCGTTTTCTTTAGTGTATGATTTGTGCTGATCCAGGAGTTTTTCCAGAGAAGTTATTTTTCATGGTGGAATGGGTGGTTTAGTGACTGTTGGTCTTCATGGCATTGCTAATCTGCTTCAGGCAGACTTGAGATGGCTCTTTGTATCCCATTTGTTGGGATTAAATTTTGTGTATTAGATTTTTATGTATTCTCTGTTTTGGTTTTCTTGCCACTGGCTGTGGAACCTGAACTCTTCCAGTGACAGCTCTGTCAGCTGGAGGTTGTTGGCTGCACCTGCCTTGTGCAGTGGGGCACAAAGTCAACATTGTGTCAAAGTCCCCGCAGTACTTTAAAGAGAATTTCCTCTAACAGGAAAATCAGGTATTTATCCTAACTTTATGCACTCCAACAGGGCATCCCTGGAGAGGGAGTGAAAGTCTGCAAGACTGCACCAGTACTTGATTTGCTTTCATTGTCTACATGAGCAGGGAGTTTTTCAGAAGAGCCAAGTCCAACCACAGAATAGTCACTGGTGCAAGTTCTTAGGGTATCCTCTAAATTATTCCTTGTCCTATAAACAGTACCCAGGCCCTTCCACAGCACTGTTCTTTTCACCAAAGAAATAGTATACTAGTATAGAAACAGTTCCAGGAGCTTTCTAGAAGTGGCAAATTTTTGATGGCTTCAGTAGTATGTTCATGAGTTACATATCAATGCATTTGCTTTACTCAGAGCCTTTACTTGGGTGCAGCTTGCAGAAGTAATGATTGTTGAACACTGTGCCAAGTATGTTTGAATGAATTACTTCTCTAAGGAACTCTGTATTTATACACAAGAACTGAGTTTTCCCATAATACCTCAATAAGAAAAAATGCTATTTCTCTGCTTGTTCTCCAGCTGTAAGTTGCTAAAGATGTTATTTGCAAGTCTGAGTATAACTCATGCCTTTAGGAAAATTTTCCCCTCTTTCTTCTGTTACAGAGCTGAGAAGCATGGAAACAGATGAAGAATACATTTGGTATCCATTCACTGCTACTCAGATATTCATTTTTGTAACATTCTGCATTACTTCTTAAGGTTTAGGATTCATTGCACTAGCAAAAGCTGTTATAAATATGCTTTACTGAGTATTTATTATCTTGTGTATGGACTTCATATGCATAGATGCATAGGTAATATGCCTATGTATAAATTATGACTGAAGTATAGATGCCCTGGTATTTGTTCAGATATTTGGAAATCCAAGAAAATTCATATATTCCTGTTACTATTATTTCATCTCTTTCTATGGCTTACAGTGGCTTGTTTTACTGTTGGTGTTCCATATTGTGAAAACAATATATATTGCTTAGGCAACAATTGCAGGAATGGACTAAAAGTGGATCAAACAATGACCGTCCTATCTAAGTGCTAAATAGAAAATAAATGTAGCATAGTGTTTGGGGTTGACCCAGGCTGGATGCCAGGAGCCCATCAAAGATGCTCCATCACTCCCCTTGGAAAATATAATGGAACGCTCATGGGTCAAGGTCAGGACAGGGAGAGCTCACTCACCAGTAACTGGCACAGGCAAAACAGACTTGACTTGTGGAAATTAGTTTAATTTATTACCAATCAAATCAGAGTAGGATAATGATAAATAAAAACTGAATCTTAAACCACTTTCTCCTCACCCCTCCCTTCTTTCCAAGGTCAACTTCACCTCTGAATGCTCTACCTCTTGCTCCCCCAGTGGCACAGGGGGATGGAAATGGGGCTTGTGGTCAATTCAGCACGTTTCTGTTGCTCCCTGCACCTCACACTCCTCACACTCCTTCCCTGCTCCAGCATGGGGTCCCTCCCATGGGAGACAGCCCTTCAGGAACAGGGTACTCCAGCATGGGTCCCCCATGGGGTCACAAGTCCTGGCAGCAAACCTGCTCCAGTGTGGGCTCCTCTCTCCATAGGGCCACAGCTTCTGCCAGGAACCTGCTGCAGTGCAGGCTTTCCATGGGGTCACAATCTCCTTTGGCAGCCCCCTGCTCTGGCATATAGTCCTCCAAGGGCTGCTCCACCATGGACTTATTTGGGCTGCAGGGACCAGCTGCCTCACCATGAGCTTCGTTTACCACAGGCTACAGGGGAATCTCAGCTCCCCCACCTCCTTTTCCACTGATCCTGGTGTCTGCAGCAATGTTTCTCACATATTCTCACTCCTCTCTCTGCCTGCAGTTGCTGCTGTGCAGTTTTTTTCCTCCTTTTAAATCTGTTATCCCAGAGGTGTTACTGCAGTCATGGATGGGCACAGCATTGGCCAGCAGTGGGTCCATCTTTGAGCTGGCTGGCACTGGCTCCACTGGACATGGGGGAAGCTTCCAGCAGCTTCTCACAGAAGCCACCCCTGCAGCCCCTCCGCTACAACGCCTTGACACACAAACCCAATACACCTAGTTAAGCTGTATTTTGGTAGAAGACAACATTAGTGTTGGCCTCTGGTCTTTAATTTATTTATTCTTATTTTTCCAAGACATTACACTTCAGAGAGGTTCCTTCCATGTGCCATCTGTTTCCTTGCAACTGGGAATGGTAGAATAATTTTCTGAAGAATTGCTGACAAGATGTGGCAGGGGAACAGTAATCCATAAAGACAAGATTTCTCATTAAAGTCACTCAGCTCGTCTGTGATATAGCAAGCTTTTGATTTACACTGGTCACCTCTGGAGCAGGGAGGACAGTGGCTGGTAAGTTACATTTTTTATTGCACAGGCTAATGGTGAGGTTCTTGACAGTAACTGGGATTGCTGTCAGATCAGTTTTCATGGCACAGACACACTTATCTAAGTGAGATTATTCTAGTTAGACAGTTTATCATAATAACAGATGTCATCATAGACACCTCTTGACCTTAGTTACTTCATGATGTCTTAATGCTGGCTGGCTGTTGTCATATCATTCCTTAGGCTTTTGCTAGGAGGGGCAGATGGACCACACAAGGCCCTTCATGAATTATAGCAGACCTTCTTTTTGGCCTTGTGGTACAGATCCTAAATTTTCTTTTCTATGTGTGCCTCCTGGTCTTCTCTCATGAGCAGAACCTTAGTGCAGGTTGCTGCTTCTGCTTTTGCTGAGCATCCAGTCTATGACATACTGGCACAGCTGGACATGTCAGCCAGCTGACAATAGTTGCAAGCACACAAAGGAAATTGCTCTAGGACAATTTAAAAATTAAATATATGCCACAGAAGTTTGGGTGGGATGCAGAGGGCAAGGAATAATAGAGTAGAAATGAGAGACACAATCATGGACACGGTGGTTGGAAGGGATGCTGCAGGTCACCTAGTCCAGCCTCCTGCTTAAAGCAGCACTATATACCTTGGAGGCCTGAAAGCACAGGGGAGCATACATAGGTAGGAAATACACCTGGACTAAAACAGAAAAAGGAGATGTCCTCTTCCAGTTGAGGAACCATGTTTTTCCACAGTAAAATGAAAATTTACTTCAGCTTCTCCTCACCCCTCTACTTCTCTACATTAGTATTTCACAATAAATACCATCTGTCTTTTCAAGAGGGTCCTGAAAGTACTTGGAAGTAAAGAGAAAGTTAAGTCTCTATATAACGTGAAAAAAAGAATAATTCTATACAATGTGAAAAAAAGAAGAATCCGTGATTATTGTATAAATCATTAGCTGGAGTAAGGGACTTATTTTTCCTTCACTGATAAATGACAGCTACTTTCCTAATTTTTTATTCTTAGGGTATAAGAAGCCATGGGGTAGAGATCTTTTCCTACCTCACACAGATCTGAGTAAAGAAGTGTTAAAATTCGTCAGCTTTCAAACAGAATCATGTTTAGTCTTGAGCTGCCAGGATTGTCAGGTGAATTTGGGATCTGTAGGTCTGTGTGCCTCCTGGCTTAGCCACTGCTAACAGGAGAAAAACAAATGAAGACTCTAAGGTTGGAATTTCAGTCCAAGCCCTGCACAGACTAAAAGATGTTTTTAGTTTCATGTAGAAATGTAGCTAAATGATCTCAGGAAGTGATTCCAGCTGAGTTTATGTGTTTGGAGGAGCACTTCCTTAATTATCCATGCTGAAAGTTGGCAATGGGATGCTACAGAGTTTTTAACAAGAGTGACAGTCTGCTACTTGTCTTACCTGGCAGATATGAAAAGTAAATATTTTTTCATAATGTTTCACTCTACATTTTGCTTTTAACAGTGGTTATATTACCCCATCCTTCTCGCAGATGGTCTGAGGAAAATGTGAAAATACAGCTGGAGACTATAAGAAAATCAAGATCACAGCCCAAGGTAGAATATCTACTCAAAGTAGCTGTTTGGTAGACAAAAGGGTACATGCCTCCAAGCAGTGAGAGCCCCAGCTCTGTCGTGGGGTGGATGTACTGACCCACATTAAGGTGTTCTACTTTGCTTCCTGGCAATGCACATTTGCTTTGGTTTTGTTGCAAACCCTCCAGTTGGGATCCTCTGGAAACAGGAGCCTAGAGGAACAGCATGATTGGCTTGAAAGATTATTTTGTTGTGATTGCTAAACCAGCTGCATTCTTCCACTAGCTCGCCATGTCAGATTCACATAAGCACGCTCCAGTGCATAAGCACACTTGTAAGATGCTAAATTCAGCCAACCATCTCTTCACTCCTTGAGGGCTGAGATAAAGAGCAGTGTGAATGGCAGAGAGTGGAGGAAGAGACTGGCAGATCACACAAAGCCAGAGTAACTGCTGAGTTCCGAGTCACTCAGTCAGATATCCTTAGTACCGCTTTAATGATTCAGTGAGACCAATAGTACTTTGAACTAGATGACGAGAAATGGAAGATTCTAGAGCAGTCACCCCAATATCCTTCTCTCTCAAATATGAAACATTATACCAAAATGTGGTTATATCACTCCAAGTAACTCCCAATGAAGCAACTTAAGAGAATGTTCTCAGAGACAGTTCTGTGGTCCAACTATCTGGCACGATCTTACTAAGATGGTTGCAGCTGCCTGGTAGTTGTTTGCTGGCTCTTCCTCCAAGCAGGCAACCTTACCCAGATGTGTGACCTTAGCCTGGAATATATGGTCCCAGTTTTCTAGAATACAAGCTCCTGGAATTGAGCTTCATAACCTTCTAACAAGATAATAATACAAAAATCTGAGGCAGCCCAACGACTCCACTTGGATAATAACATGTAAACAGAAAAATCCATTTCTGTTGGCTGAAATATTGCCAAGGTTCATTAGAGTCAGCACACAGACACTTGAATGTGCTGGAAACATGTAGCTTTGAAAGACTGGTAATTTCTTGAACAAAAAATATGCAAAACATTTAAGATATTGTATACGAAGATGAAAGATGCATGATTTAAATTGAAAGCTATAGGGGTAGCGCTGGAATTAAGATAAAGTGTCTAAAGAATGGATTAGTAACAAATGATTTTTGCCAACTGTTGACTTATTCAGAAATGAAAGGCATAACTACCTATTTAGAAATACACAATTCTAACTTGTCTATGAATGCAAAAACTGTCTATGTAAATTATATACGGATTGTTCAAAACCAAATTCTCCCTATGGCTTTGTTCACTTGTTTTTGCAATCCTGGTATTTCCAGTGAATCTGTTAAGGAAGCCTCTGACCTGAAACAACATATGAAATAAGAATACATAAAAATTGCTCTATACTACTGAAATTTAACTATCTTCAGCTTTTTTTCATCATGGACACAATCTGAAAATTTATTGCTACTTACGAAATCACAGCTATGTGGATATTTGCAAGTTACATGAGGTCTCTGCAGCCTTGAAATCATCATTCAGGTGAAAGTTTAACAATAAAACAGTGGTCACTGATGGATCCTTTTACTATTTCTTACTTGTCTTGCATAGGCAATGACAAGGCTAAGAAGAGCAGTTGGTGATTTCTCTTCATCTCTGTGCCTGGGCCCCTCATCCTGACAGGATCCTTTTCTACACAGAAAGAGGGAAAGCTACTGCTGTTATAAATGTGCTCATTAAATCAGACTGATGCTTTCACTCAAAAAATATTTGCATCCATTTGGATATTTTTCTTGATGTATTTTTACCATTTGTATTGGTGGATTCATCCACTTAAATACATGCAAAGCTTAAATGCACTGAGGTGAACCCCCCAAATTGCAAAACTTACATTTTCTGAAGGTGCATGGTAGTTTCATATTTGACAGCAAATATTTAGATATATACCAAAAAGGAAAATATTCATGCTACCCTTCATCTTAATAAACAAGGTCCTTTTTATCCTATGTTTTGTGATAATTATCAAATGATAAGGAAATCAGGACAAATGTCTGCTTTCTGAGAACATGCTGAATAACCAATGCAAGAAAAAGCAGTTTCGAAGAGATTTGCAACTGAAAGGTCACCTGGCAGTGTGGCAACTTGTTTAATGAACCAGGAGTAAGATAATTTAACATGCTTCTCAAGGATTCAGAAAAGAAGCCTAATGTTCCTCTGTGCCTGGTATCATGGCATTGTATTTGGAGGCCTTCTAAAACAAAGATGTAGCATTATTTATGTAAAACTGTCCCATCCTGATGTTCATCACAGAGGACTTAGAGGGTACATCAGAGATTGACAGTGACTGGAACAAGCATTTAAGATTTATGTAGAAAGCTCTACCTCATACCTAATGCGTACATTGACAAACGTATTACAGCATTAGTATATCAGCAGATCTAGTTTGGGCTTTGAAAGCTGCTGGAGAGAAGGATTCTGTTCTACCTAGCACCTCCACAGCAGAAGGATTCTGAATGTTACCTTTGGCAGTTGCTGAGGCATTGACTGGCTCCCACTTTGATAGTCCATGCAAGACAGAAGATGTTTTTCCCATGCTGCAGCTTCACTTAGATTCTCCCAGTCCTTCAGTTTACAGTGAGGAGTCTTAAAGGGAGTCACTGTTTCCTTTTACAAGGAAATGCCTGCAAGAGATTTACACTGTCTTTCCCTCAGGTATTTATTTTTTTTCTCAGACCATTTTCTCAAACAAATGGGCCAGAGAATATCTTGCTAAATAGCAGAATAGAAAAGACTTTACCACAAGCATAGCTTAAGTGTGTCTTATTCACTTAAGTTCTTGTCCCAAGGTAGAGACTTTTGTTTGAAATGCACCTCATTAGGTTGATCTTGAACATCTTTAACGAGTGTTTCCTCATTAGATGGCCCCGTGTGCTAGTTTGATTGTTGGATATGAGGACTGAGATTGCTTACACTTTGCATAATACAATTACAGTTGTTTGCTGTGACCAGAGCTATAGTCTTTGATCATTGGCTTCTCAGTGGCAGCCCCAATTAAACTCTTGTAGAAATACTCCATAGAAATGAATCTACTGCCAAATATTAAGAGAGAAGTTACATGGCTGAAGCAGAACTTCTGAATTTATTGCAAGGGAGTCTTTCAGAATTCAAATCTATGTAGAGCCATGAAAGATAGAAAATAAGGTAAAGGAGCACACCTCCCATGAACCAGTCCTTTGTATACTGCTTAAAATCCTATTTACTATAGCAAAGAAGTATTGGCAGCTCACACTGAGTTTTCAGAAGAACAAAAAATAAAAGGGTTGAATTAACAACCGTGGTCTAAATGATACCATGGAGAGTATTTGCAGCTTGAGCACTGTAGAACTTACTGTATACAGTATTTTCTTCTTAGTTGTTCCACTGGGTGGCACAACTCCTACATTGCCTTTTCCAGAGATATCATTCAATATTTGAATATGTTAAATTATTTTACTCTATTATTTTGTGTTGACATCTGCAGCCTTGAGTTCTGATTGACAGATGAAATAGGGACTTAAAGTAACTGAGACAGAAGTGCCACTACATTGTCTTTAATCCAAGACAAAACCTACACCCTTTAGGGTGCCCCCACTGCTCTGTCCACCCCCCCCTTCCAAACAGTGGTTATCTGACTTTGAACAAAATCTAATATGTTATGAAAACTGGTAAAGCAGACCTTAGAGCAAATAAAGCTTTCCACAAAGTACTTTGGTTTTCAGACAGAAACCAAAATGTTTACTTCTTTCATGGGAACTACTTGACAACCTGTATTTTAAATAAAAATTCTTTTGAGACCCTCATGCTTCCCAGGGTGGGAGGGTAAGGAAATTGTCCTGCATTTCAGGTCCATCCACCCACAGTCTTTTATGAAAACCCCGCCAATGGCGAGGAAGAAATCTAGACCTCCAAATCCTGCCTGCTCCGAGGAGTGTCACTTAGAACTCATGACAGCATTTCTCACCACGGGATTGCCAAGCTGAGGAAGAATACCTGGGTTTGGCCTTCAAAGTTATAAAAATGTTCTGACAGACTAACAAGGCCCCATTGCTTCTCAGCTTCTCTTATTATTCTCTCTTCAATTCTTCATCTCTTTAAGGCTTTTCCTTAAAAATAATTTAAAGAATTAATTCTGTGATGTTAAAATGAAATATTTTGTAATAGTGGAGGGATTCTCAGGTATTTTCAGATGTTATCCTCTCTATTTGTAAGTCAGGTGCCCAAGGAAAATATTTCCATAGTGTAGTGGTTGTCTCCCTGTCAGTTCTGCCCCATCTCCATTTACTTCTGAGCCCAGGGGTTAATTCCAGTGAAACCTGAAAGAGGAACAGGTAGGACTCTCAGAGATGTCTAAATGGATACAAAATTTGGGAAAACTGGCTGGTGACTAGAGAGCTGTACACAAATGAAGACCCTCCTGGGAGAACTCACACATTATATGTAACATTTGGTTATAAGTAATCAGTCAAAATGTACCTGACCAGCCAGTTAGCATTCGTGCACTGTCAGATGAGCTGTAACTCTGCTTTTGAGCTGTCTCTTGCAGGATGCAGCTGGAAATATTGCTACAGGAACTGGGTCATGACAGTAGGGGACAAATCTATAAGAAAGCCATTTCATTAGTTATGCTACTCATGCAGCAACTAATTTTAAATGAAGGAAATGTCTTTCTAGTCAGGTTCATATAAATCTTCTGTGCAGGAGGCTTATGCTTTTATCTTTAAATACCCTATCTTTTTAATTTTCAAATAAATATATTTGGGCTTTGTAGATTCACTTTTCTTTTGCCGAAATCCTGCTACAGTAGGGTTAGCTCCTTTGTAACTATAAGAGGAGCAAGGCTGTGAGGGTATTCTGTATGGCAGGTGACAGCTCCAGAGCAGTAAATCAAGATTATGTACTGAAACTCATTAATTTACCCATATAAGCAAACTTCTACACTTCATTTTTGTGTCTAGAGTGCTTCAACTTTTCTACTTTCTTTTTAAGCTACAGCT